ATATATATCTATATAATGTATTGTTTCGCGTTACAAGTCGGTCGGAGGGAAGGAGGTGCGGGAAGGGATGTGTGCTCTTTGCAGATCGCACGTGCAAAGGATTTCGAGTGTTACAAAGAAGGAGCGCTAACTTCGTCTTGATGAATGAGAGATTTTCGTTTTGAGAGATACATTTCTTTTTTCTCCGAGACATTATTCCAAAGATATTTTTTTTCGTAATTGATAATTAAAAGATTTGTTTTTTGTGCGCTAGTTAATTAATTAATTCTTCGTAATCATTGGAGTTATTTGACCACCCAAAAAAGTTCGAAAATATATATCTCTAAATTCTTATTTCGAAATAAGATTTGATCTAATCCGCCTCAAGTTCAAAGTTCATAAATGATGAGTAAAAAGTCAAGTGACGAATTTCTTTAATTTAAAATACAATAAATATTGAGTATATATTGCGCGAGAATTTTGAAATTTGAAAATTTTAACTATTATATAAATTTTAATTAAATTTTTTAATTAAATTTTTTCAGTGATTGAACAATAAATTTAAATTGATTTATTTTTAAATGTAGCTAACACTCGATGTTCTTCACGTCCGTTGACAGATGCTCTGATTTTTCCCCGCGATGGGCATAATTTGTTTGCTTTCTTTCTATCGGTTGCGTATCGGCGATTACGAACTGGGAGCAATTAAGCGATGCCGCGTGTAACTCTGTGATACCGTAAGCTATAAGATAGAATTACTCTGCAACGATTAAGGGGAGAGCGGATATAATTAGGACGAGATTCGAACGCTTCGATTCTTCGTCGGTCGTGGACTTGCGTTCTTTGAAAGCGTCAAAATAAGGAATTAATTTTTGATTGGGCTGAACAACACGAGGGTGCTCCAAGGGGAAAATCTCTGATAATTTTTTTCTCAAGAAAGACAAAGAGCGTTGCTTTCGGATTTTTGGAGAAAGATGAAGGAATTCTGGCATACGAGCATTTGAAGTCGTTTACGTCCGTCTTAACGTGTATATAATATTAAGAGTCTGAAACTCCGAAAGCGTCCATCGATTATATTTGTCTGAAAGAAAATATTATAGAAATTCATTTATTTTCAGAATTGCAAAACAGATTTTAAAAATAATATCTGCTCGACACAGAAGCCGATTTAATTTGATTTGCTAAAAGAAGTGAAATCCTTTAAGTTATAATGTAAGAAAGAGTAGATTAACATACATCGATTCACGCTTTCGGACTCACGTCAGATTTAAGAGAAAGCTTAGTCGGTAGACATCACGCGGAAAATTTTGAAAATTTGCGTAGCTCCTGCATTTCTCTCTTCGGATGCGGACAGCAGGGGGATGAAGATGAGGAAAATGGGAAAAGGGGGGGGGAGAGAGAGAGGGACGGGGAAGGGGGACAAGAAGAAAAAGAAAAGAGGGAGGATTATTTATAAATCGAACGTTTGCTCGGTGTGATAAAGCAGATTGACGAATCATTTTGCACATGGAAGCGAATAATTTCCAAAAGTTGCCGCTTTATGTAAGACTGCTTTAGTGAAACAAAAAACGCAGAGACAAAAAGTATAAATATCGATAAATATAGGGTGCTGGGCGAAACGTTGGGACACGCGACGGAATCATATTAAATCTAATTCGTACTTATATATTGCAAATATATTATAT